GGCGGTGCCGAAGAAAGGCCACTCCAAGACACATTTTTCTTTCGAAAATATTGATTTTCTGCTCCCGGCGCCCGGGAACCCCTTCCGGGCCGCTTCTGGCACCCGGGCCGGCGCTCGAGCCGAACGCCCGGGCCATCACCCGGGCCAGCGCCCGGGCCGGTTCCGGCGCCGGCCGGCGCCGGAAAATTGAATTCCGAGGCGGTGCGGAAAAAAGGCCACTCCAAGACATATTTTTCTTTCGAAAATATTGATTTTCTGCTCCCGGCGCCCTGGAACCCCCTTCCGGGCCGATTCCGGCACCCAGGCCGGCGCTCGAACCGAACGCCCGGGCCGGCACCTGGGCTGGCGGCCGACGCACGATGCGCTGCCACAAGCCAGCTTCCCGCAAGATCGGTCCAGAGTGGGAGGGGACGGAGCTGGGCGGGTGAAGGACCACCAGAGCACTGCTCCAGCCTTCCCACAGCCCTGGGTCTGCTGACCACACAGGAGCACGGCAGACCACACAGGAGCGCGGCAAACCACAAAGGAGCAAGGCAGACCCCAAATGAGCACGGCAGTCCACACGTTCGCACGGCAGACCGCACAGGAGCACGGCAGACCGCACATGAACACGGCAGACCAAGAAGGAGCACGGCAGACCACACAGGAGCACGGCAGACCACACAGGAGCACGGCAGACCACACAGGACACGGCAGACCCCACGGGAGCACGGCAGACCACACAGGAGCACCGCAAACCACACAAGAGCACGGCAGACCATACAGGAGCACGCCAGACCACACAGGAGCACGGCAGTCCACACGTTCGCACGGCAAACTCCACAGGAGCACGGCAGACCCCAAAGGAGCACGGCAGACCACAGGAGCACGGAAGACCGCACAGGAGCACGGCAGACCACACAGGAGCACGGCAAACCAAGAAGGAGCACGGCAGACCACAGGAGCACCGCAGACGCCACAGAAGCACGGCAGATCGTCGTCGTCGTCATCGTCGTCGTCGTCGTCTTCGTCAATAACGATCTCGAAAATTACGACAAAAAACGATGACAGAAAACGACCACAAACATAACACAAAAACCAACCGAACACGGAATCCAACAACAAAAAAACAATCAGAAAAACGACCGCAATCATAAAATGATAACGACGGCGACAGCGAGAACGGCAACAGCGGACGATTATAATGAAAACGACGACCACGACAAAGGAAAGGCACGCGACGACGACGACGGACAAACAAAAGACAAGACAGGCTGGAACAGAAAAAGTAGGCTGGGCGACAACGGGTGGGGGCCCGCGTGGCCGAGAGAAAAGCACGGTGTCGACACCATGATGTGGCCAGGGCAGCAGACTACCTCGACAGACCAGCGCGGCAGGCCACCATTTAGTCTGTTCTGTTGCGTTTATGGGTTTCTCTGACGTTCTCGCCAATACGGTCTCTGACGCACGTGGTGGATAAAAAACGGCGCTTCCCGTTCTTGTCCGGTCAGGTTCCCCAAAATGGCCATTTCGCTCGAGACATCCTCGAAAAATCGAGGTGTTGGAGGCTATCGTTTAAGACGTCTTATGTCAAAAATGACGGTTTCGCTCGAGACATCCTCAAAAAATCGGGATGTTGAAAAATATCAAAAATTTTTGTTATGCATGAAAAATAAGCGTTTCGCTCGAGACATCCTCGAAAAAATGAGATGCCGACAGAGGTGATTTAGAACCTTTTATGTCAAAAAAGACGTTTTCGCTCGGGACGTCCTCAGAAAATGAGCAGGTGGTCTGCCGTGCTCCCGTGTGGAGCACGGCAGACCACGGCCATTTCGCTCGAGACATCCTCAAAACATCGAGGTGTGGTCTGCCGTGCTCCTGTGTGGTCTGCCTTGCTCCTGTGGTCTGCTGACGGGAAGCGTCTTCGAGGTACGAGAAGCAAGCGGGACGTTCTGGCTGAATCCTTGAGTAATATATAATATATATCTATATATATATCTTTATATCTATGGGTTGCGGGATCGCACGGCGTTTTTCATTGGCGGATGACGGGAAGCGTCTTCGAGGTACGAGAAGCAAGCGGGACGTTCTGGCTGAATCCTTGAGTAAATATATATATATATATATATATATATATATATCTTTATGTCTATGGGTTGCGGGGCTGCACGGCGTTTTTCATTGGCGGATGACGGGAAGCGTCTTCGAGGTACGAGAAGCAAACGGAACGTTCTGGCTGAATCCTTGAGTAAAAATATATATATCTTTATATCTATGGGTTGCGCGATTGCACGGGGGTTTTCATTTGCGGATTCCCCAAAATGGCCATTTCGCTCGAGACATCCTCGAAAAATCGAGGTGTTGGAGGTTATCGTTTAAGACGTCTTATGTCAAAAATGACGGTTTCGCTCGAGACATCCTCAAAAAATCGGCATGTTGAAAAATATCAAAAATTTTTGTATGCATGAAAAATGAGCGTTTCGCTCGAGACATCCTCGAAAAAATGAGATGCCGACAGAGGTGTTTTAGAACCTCTTATGTTAAAAATTACGTTTTCGCTCGGGACGTCCTCAGAAAATGAGCAGGTGGTCTGCCGTGCTCCTGTGTGGAGCACGGCAGACCACGGCCATTTCGCTCGAGACATCCTCAAAAAATCGAGGTGTGGTCTGCCGTGCTCCTGTGTGGTCTGCCGTGCTCCTGTGGTCTGCCGTGCTCCCCACAGGAGCACGGCAGACCGCGCGTAGGAACCGAGAGGAGCACGGCAGACCAAGACGAGGAGCACGGCAGACCAGGCTTAGGAACCGAGAGGAGCACGGCAGACCAAGACGAGGAGCACGGCAGACCAGGCACCAAGAGCGCCCTCAAGACGACGGAAAGGATGACCAAGACGAGGAGCACGGCAGACCAAGACGAGGAGCACGGCAGACTATGCCCTAAGAGTGCCCTCAAGACGGCCGAACAACGGCAGACCCCATAGGAGCACGGCAGACCACAGAAGAGCACGGCAGACCAACAGGAGCACGGCAGACCACACAAGAGCACGGCAGGCCACACAGGAGCACGGCAGACCACACAGGAGCACGGCAGACCACAAAGGAGCACGGCAGACCACACAAGAGCACGGCAGACCCCACAAGAGCACGGCAGACCCCACAGGAGCACGGCAGACCCCACAGGAGCACGGCAGAGCAGACCCAAAAGGAGCACGGCAGACCACACAGGAGC